ATCATTGGCCTTCAGCCATCAAGTGGTATTTCTAAAACAAACGCCGACCGACATTGGGCTTTGTATGTCTAAATGCCAGGTGATCTCTTCCGTTATGATGTCATTGTGTTGAATCTTAGTCTGACTCTCTTTTATCAAAGGGCTTCCTGTGTTAGCTGCGACAGTGGAGGACTTGTACCTAAGTGTATCGAGGTAGCAACATTGCTGTAAAAAGWAAATTTGACTTGTAATACCCTGTGTTGTTTATCTCTGTATTTTCTTCTCAAGGCTGAACATGCGTTGACGATTAGAGGTTCRTGCGGAGGCGTCATATCATAGAGAGTTATTTATACTGTAGTTACTTCCTTAGCACCTGCCCGTCGTCTCTTCGTTTGTTTTTTTTTTCTGTTAATTTTATAGACGAAGGTACAACGCATATTATAATGGCTCAAAGGCTGTTATATTGCTCTTTATAAAATTTTTGATATATAACGCGCGCTCTGATTGGCTGACGACCGTGTTTATATCAGTGGACAGAGACACGATTTACCGGCAAAATTTTCTTTTCGCTCGAAAAATTTTATAAAGGAAATATAAAACGGCCGCTTGTGTCTCTGTCCTCTGATATAAACACGGTGGGAGTTGAAAACACTCGAGAAGCAAGAGAAACACTCGCTACGCTCGTGTTCCTAAGCTTGCTTCTCTCGTATTTTTCGAACTCCCACCGTGTTTATATCAGAGGACAGAGACACGCGCGCCGTTTTATATTTCTTAAATAAAGACGCTTTTTATAGTGTCATCCTTATAGAATTGTTGTGTATTGAATTTCCTATTAGCCAACGKATTTACCCATGATTCAATTCGGCCTTGGCTTTGTAATTACWGAGTACTTATCAAGGAACGCGTGTAACTGTAATATTAGCTGTGAAAAATAAAAGCTACAACCGATAAAAATATGAGTGATCAAATGATCAGTTCTTGTGATTGAAGGAATCAGCCTACACGCTTGTTATGTGATGTTAATTCAACAGGAAAATATAAGACATTGAATAAATTGACTAGAACAACTCTGTAAGCTCATTTTCACCGGATCAGTGTACACGCTCATCATGAACACTGTGTTTTGATGGTCATTAGTCTTTAAGCTGGATTGTATRTCAGTTTCTTATTCAAATATCTTTCCTGTGCGTCTGTTTTTGATCAGTTCTTTCGGTAGGCTGCTTAACATCTTTTCAGGTAAATTCATTTCTCCTTCCTTATCTCGGTTCTATTTCTTTCTAGCTTGAAATAGAAGATTTATTTGTAATGATATGTTTGTTTGTTTGTTTAGTGGATTGTGAGTTTCGCGTGTTTACTTCTTTGTAATACCGCTGACCTGTTTGTTTTATATTGGCTCAGTTGCTTGTTTTCTTGAAYGATTTTTTTACTGCTCAATGACACGTGACACTTACTTAAAAGTATCTGAACGTGCTTCTTTGAATCAAAACATTTTTAATTATCTTAAAACTCTCAAGCAGATAGATTGAGCTCTAACCGCATTGCATTACATGTAACGTAATACCGAAATGAAGTATGGGAAGGCAAATAATAGACCTTGGCAGCTTTTACATCATGTACCGTATACGCAATGCATTGTAGGATATGTTTGGGACAGAACATGGCGGATTTCTTTTGTTTTCTCTTCAAATTGATCCCACAATGCATTGAAAATCAAGTAGTGACGTAAAAGGTTCAGCCGAGGTCTATTAATACAAGTGTTTAAGTTCCCAAACACTGCTCTAATAATGATAATAAAAATAATAATAAAAATATTCATCATCATCATCTTTATTTCTCAAGATAAAATAAAACATATGGCTTAAGTTACAATTTGATAATAATAATAATAATAATAATAATAATAATAATAATAATAATAATAGTAAAATAAATACAATAAATATTGTAGTGGGCAGGTAAGAAATTTATATTTAAAATAACTGCATTAAATAATTATTGCTCACGTAGTAAGTACTCGATAAAGCAAGTGTTCAGTCAAAAATAATTCAGTACCCAATATCCCCTTCGGGCGTAGCTATAATGATTGACACGACCTTTTTTTACATAACAGTAAAAGTCATGAATTACAAGTGGAATGATTGTGAATTAAATACTTGTAATCGCCATTAAGTGCTGAAATTAATATTACACGTTTGGCTGAAGTCTCGAACTGAGAACGTTAAGCGAATATTCTRAGTGCCTCACTTGAAGTTAAAACTACAAACATGTACTGATACTTAAATCATATATTCTACTACATTAGAGGTTTATTTTTAGATAGTCTTCTAGCAGGAAGAAAAAAACAGGATTTGTTAAGATTGTACTAACAGTACCTACTAGGATTTCTTCTCATGATTGTACCAAACTTTAACATTGATAATGCGTTTAAGTTAACAGCCAGAATCTCAATATGATATAAATATCATGAGAAAAATACTGCACACTACGGGGTCTTGTTGTTGTTGCTGCTGCTAGAGCTTCTATTGTTGTGGTCCCTACATTCAATCTCTGTTGCTCTGATCTATTTTAACAGTCCACCAGAAAACGCTGAAGCAACGAGAGAAAAGACTGTAAAATGTAACGCTTTTCATTCAGTCTTGATAATGGCTCGGTGAGCCGAAAGCTCGACGAAAATRAATAACTTTTAGGTTGAAGTAGCGCTTACATCGTAATGAATAGACCGACCTACAACCATTTATTTGAAAGACTGAAATAATTAATTAATATTGTAGTTTTTTACATTGGCCTTTTTGAAAGCATTTCCCGTGGCTACCCTCCTAACTGCCAGACATGACGTCACGTCCAGTTTTGTTCTCATAAGAGTGAACTATAGTACTATGGCATATGGCTGCAACAACGCCCATCATTTTTACTTTGACAAAAAGTAATCCATCTGCTTGGTTGACAGCCATTCAATAACATGTTCATTAGTTTTTAATGATTTCATCTTATTTGTCGATCTCTTCATGATCAGGATGAATTTGATCTTGAACTCCCTCCACATATTGAGTTACTAGTGCAGTTTTAAGTCGCAAATTGTGGTCGGTTGATTTGGCGATCAAGGTTGGTACCTAACTATTGCTTGATATATATTTCTCTTACTAAGTAAGCGGTGCAGTGTGATGGGATTTGACTATGAACCAATCAAGACTTATCATGACTCAACATCAAGACACTCATCACGCTACGAGACGGGTTTTTGTACCTTTGATTTCAGTCAATATTCATGCTYTTCTAATTAGAAACACGGGATTTCTAGTGACCAGTAACGAGATTAATAGATTGATTATTATCAGTATAGCCCAATTAAAATATCGGCTTAGACTTTAGATTTATTTTTCTATGGACTCTATGGTTAACAATTATTCAAAGTGGCAAATTCCCCATAGGTCTTATTTCATTTCATAGATTTTTAATGATATTCGGTGAAAGATAATTACTCTTTGATAACCACACACAAATAGTTTTTGTTTGAAATGAGGTAGCAATTAATTATAAGGGGATATGACGGAAAAAAGATAAACATGATATACGATATCACGCAATTTTAGATTACTTGAAAATAAAAAACACAGAAAAGACATAAATACAAAGAAAAGAGAACAAAGTAATCTTGAGAAAARTGAGTCATTTTATTAAATAGTGTCAGTCTTTTTGACGAAAACAMACCAAAACACTGGACACTTCAAGGGGTCAAATCTAAATTCATTTCTTGACGTTTTTCACTTAGCGTTGACTTTGATGGTTACAAATAAAAGGGCAGCTGCTACATTCAGAAAACTATCCTGTTTCATTGTGAAATACCAAGTCGGTATTATTCAAMYATCTCAATGTTTTAATGTTACGATGCTGTCATCTTCTTCCTTATCAAATATTTATTGTTACATTACACTCACAAAAAAATGTTATCATATTCATACCTTTGTATTTTCGTATAGTGTTTTGAGACTGTCATATTTCTTAWTGTAAATGCTTTGACTGGCATCTTGGCTAATTGTAGGCCGCAAAATGAGTTTTTTTTTTATGGAATTTTAATTTAATTCAAAAAATTGCAACCTTTTACTTTGATTCTTATCACTGAACGCGTTTTTAATCTTCCGGTCGAAGCATAACTCTATCGACAAATGTATTTTGTTCGTCTAAGTCGCTTCCATTAAAAAAAAACACCAAACAAAACAGAAAAAAAATCGAAAACACATGTAAAACACTGTTTTCATGCATATCAAAGCTTATCATAGACCATAGTTAATACATACTGCAATTTACACACCAAAAATTCATCAGATAAAAATCGTACATCGCTCGTTCGTTTGATTTCATCACAAATCGTGAATAAAAATCGTACGCGCTCACCAACCATGAAGTAATCTATCACGCAACGGAACCGATTTCTTCCCGCAATGCGTCAAGGGAAGGGAGAAAGAAGAGTGTTCTCTCTCCTTCCCATCAACCTCTTCGAGCGCAGCGTTAAATAAGAAGGAACTTGGCACGAGTCTAACTAGTGCTKCAATACCTATCAATCACATCATAACCCTAGATCCCTATTATTGACATTTCAGCTGTACACCTCCCCAGGCTTGGAGCGATGTCTTAATGTAGATTCCTGATATTCCCAGGAAATGCAATGGCCGAGTTGATTTTTTATTTGTTCATATTATATCTGATGTTCTACTAGTAAAGCAATATGTCARATCATCACAAGCTCTTCCCATTTGATTGTCGGTTTGAACGATATTAGCCTGGTTAATGAATAGACCATATTTTCTTAATTATCAACGATATTGATATCAAAAAAGCTGATTATTGTAATGGAAATGGAAGATCTGCTGTAGATACAATATACAGTGAATCAAGAAAACACCTCATATCATATCTCGTTTGTCTGTTACTTCCCTCGCACTACACTGTCAGAGTTCTGATTATATATCCGGCACTTGGAATACACTTGCCATTCAAAGRAACCTAGGTCTTCATAAGCAGCCAAGCTGTATTTGTAACYGATAATTCAACATCTCACCAAGATGTGSAAGATCATGGGTTCGAATCCATTGTCTGTTCTTGGTATGTCGTTCATATATGGTGAGAGMGTTTCAGTACTTTTTTCCGTTTCCTTTCAGATTTTTATGATAATGATGTTACGTGAGTACTAAATCAATCACGTTCCTATAGCTTTGTTGTTTGTAACTCAAGCCTTGTCACTAAATCCTTATGTCTTTCCCTTGAAATATAAAACTCAAAAACTCATTTTGTTCTTCGATTTACGGAAGAGTATAAAAGGAAAACATTACAATACAAGCACCTGACAATACTTWAAGTAGTTTGCGAGCCTCTTGTAAGCGATAGAATGATCCGATTTACATTATATCTCAACTGGCATCACAACTTAAAAATCACAACCCAAATACACACCCTTTTGGTTGATAGCCACAAAACTGAATTTTTAATACCCAAATGAGTTTTCGTCTGGATTACAAAGGGGGTCTATTATAGGCTGGCGGTTAGACGGTGTCTGYTGATTTTAGAGGTCGGTTTTTGATAGTGGTCTCAGTTTTATGGTGGTTTATGGTTGTGAAGGTATCATTCGRTTGCGGAAAATTGTCGATTTTGCAACGCGGTTTACGGTTACAATCGACTTTTATGTGCGGATTTCATATGAAATAACACAGTCAATAAGACTTTTGAATAGTGTCGGTTGTAATGAATCATCATTTTTAGCGGCGGTGGACGGAAAAAATAGGAAATGACAACCGCCTAAAATGATAGGCCACCTAKAAAGATAAAGTCGGTGTACACTTTGAACACCGGATAGTAATCTCGAGTTATAGTTTGGAAAGCAGCTTAGCACTGATTGAGGTTTGTTTGCCTGATTGCTGTAAGTGTTTCAGTTTTTTCAATAAAACAAAGCTGTTTCCAAACTTTATATCCCATGATGCARTTGGGTTTGGTATAAAGTGATTAAGTACAAGGATGCGTTAATAGGGTGCCGAATTGAAAAAAAAACTGGTGCTGAGAAGTTACTATAGAATGAGGTTTTGATAGACACGAAACGATGGCTATAATGTAGGTCTACACTATAAAGTTTTGACGTTTTTTTACATCGCTATGGCTCTGATAGTGTAGACTTTTAGCCAATACTTGTTGTCATGGTTACACTATCGATAATTTGCTTAAAGTATAAGTAATCAGTGTCAAGAATCTGCGTTTATTATACTTAACTGCTCATTTACTCTGTTGTATTCAAAACTTTGTCATTATAAGGTTTTCCATTTTCTCATAAACAATTCTTTGTCGGTTCCCGTCAGTAACAGTTCTCTGTTGTCTAATACTATTTAAGTGAGGTGATTTGAGGAAGACTACTGTTTAATCTATCTTATACACACTAGGAGACCAGGCGTCGGTGTGATACTAGCTGATACTGCACGATTTGATGTAAATCCCCGCAAAGACTAAAAATAATCTAAAAAAAATACTCAGAGGGCATGATGGGTAGTATTCCTGAGTTGTTGTTTGTGGTACCAACGCGAATTGTAGCCAAATAGTGAAGTRCACAAACTGGTTCCAGCAGTCWTAGAAACACATAGCTGTAGGTCGCTGTTAAGGTATATATAAATAGCTACTGAACTCAGTTGTCAGCAATGCCTTCTCTACGTCTGAATGGACTTGAGTAAAAACACYTAGAGAAGCCCCTTTCTTTGCAGACCGACTTTGAAAATATTTATATATTTTTAAAAATGTACAACTTTATATACCAAATCAATAGGGTACTGACACATTTAAGATATACCCGTGCCATTTTGCAGTCAGTCATTTTCACTGTAACAGTCAAAACAAATTAATTGTAATTCTCAACAGCGAAGAACCGTTCTTTAAACGCTGTTTCAAGTAACATCTTCAAATTGTGATGTTTAATGATCCCGAAATGTTTTTTATAAGAAATGATATCATCACTTGGTGACGTTTCGGTCTATGTTTCGAAAGTTCCCATCGACAATCAAATTGTTATTCCACCTTTCATGCACATTTATTCGACTCACATAATTTCCATAAAGAATGAAAAACTGAAGTGATTGGCGCAGAATGAAAATTTAACCTGTTATTTGAAATAAGTACCACCAGTTGAATAACTATTGCACTACTGTTCTTGATTCTAGTGTTAAGCTGAGCTTATCAAATGTGGTCAACGTCCTGGCTTTTCGTKATAGAAGCCATTGCCATAGTAACAGGCAATGCCATTTCCATCGTGATATTCACAAGTACTCGTCGACTGCGCAACCGTAAATTCATGACTATTGTGAATCTAGCAGTGGCTGACCTTTTGTCTGGTTTGGTTTGTTTACCCTTGGTTGTTTATTATTTTGAAGGAGCCCAGAGACACACCCAAACYTTTCTTACCATTTACAATTTGGCGGATTCGTTTTTTGGAGCAGCCTCTATATTTAGTTTRGCAGCACTGGCCATTGAACGACTCCAYGCGACCTATTTTCCATTCAAACACGAAGGATTGTCTAARCGTGCATACGTGATTGGGATAGCTGTGGTGTGGATGTCTGCTCTGCTCCATGCCCTCGCGGCGCAGTTTCTCAGCTACTTTGCACACATTCTTAAAATAGTTGTCGTTATTGGGCTTGCACTAGCAGTTGTGAGTATTTCATACTTACTAATATGGATTAAAGTAACGCGTATGAGTGGACTACCTGTCCAGGCAATCCAGGAAGAAAATAAGAAACTAACCATTACCCTATTGATCGTGACTACAGTCAGTTATATTACCATGCTACCATTGATGATTACCATGGTTTACACGTACGCTTGTGGTTCTTGGTGTCTTGACAGTCATTATTCATTGTTAGTGGCCCTGGCTTTTCTTCATTACATGAATTCACTCGTCAATTTTATTATCTATGCTTTGCGCATGCAAGAATTTCGAGGAGCACTTTTACGTCGACTGGGATGCTCTCGTCAATATGGCGCAGCAAGAACAATTGACAAGACAAATGAGACTATYATGTGATTGATGCATGAACATTTATATTAGCTGCATAAAGATTAATCACTATTTTCCCTTGTCATAATTTGGTATGTATGCAAAACAGTCGTACTTTTGTACTCCTTTGCAGCCTTTGGGATGGACAGCCTTCTGAGAAGCCCTGCGAACATTAGGCTGCGTAGGAGGCTCGTTCTTCTCTACGTACTTATTATTATACAGAGGAGGTAATTCAAAGGACATCAAAAAGAGACACTGAGTTCTGATCAAATAATTCCAGAATATAAAGAAATTCATAATGTTCCCCATTCATTTTACAAAATAATAGCTTCAAGTCGAGCGTTAAAGTGACACTGTCAATGGATGACATGCGCAGTAACAGTCTCACCTCTAACGGACTTTGAAAGTATTACCTTCGAGGTAAATCATTTTGTGGTGCTTTTGACACATTTTGGAATATTCTAGATCTGTTTACGTTTACGAGCTAATTTATGTCGCGCCAACTTGGAGTCATAAACTTGAAAACACTAGCCTAATGTTTTCAAGTTTACTCGCGCATGCGTGCCATTGACAGTGACCCTTTAAGGTAGCTGAATTTTATTCACCCCGGCCAGGAGGGCTCCAGCCCCAGCCTCGAACATGAAACTATTGTTTTATGATTAAAAATGTGAATTCGGGAATAGTCTATATACTATACTATAARAACCGCGGGCTTTTATCCTACAATAGGAATCATTACTGCTATGTAGTTATTCATTATTTACAATTTATACTTGTAACTATAACGGAAATGCATGTAAAACGTGGTTGAGTAGTATCATTTTAGATCGATAAAATATATATAAGTAAAGTACTAGAACTAGCTGATGATAAGCATTTTTTATGATAACGCGCCTGCGCAGAGTCTTGACTTGTCTTTTATTATTCTTGTTTTTGTAAATACGGCGAGACGTTGACGCTAGCCAAAAAATATATATAAAATCACGGGAAAACAAAAGGTCTCAAAAACAAGTATTAGAATACAAGCCTTTGGAACAAGGGTAGCATGAGTATGCACAAGATAAATAACATGCTTTGCTTGGTTTTGTTTTTATTTCATATTTTTAACAAGTTTGCTGGTATATATTAGCACGGAAAGTATGTGTTATAACTTTTCACAGTCATTCTTTTTCATCAAGATTAAATTAGCCAGCTCAGCTTTGTTTTGAAAATTAGCATGATATAAAGCCTCCTTTTATTCCTAAAACCAAAACAAAAATGACTATTATAATAAGGATGATGGGTATATAAAATATTTCTATTCATAAAAAATGTTTTTGTATTTTACAGTAAGTCAAAGAAAAAGAAGCTAGAAAAATTGAATTAATTTGATATGATGATATTTGAAATATCATCACGTGAATTACTTCAATAACTTGCGTTAAATGATATCACGTGAAATGCTTTAAAACAACACATTCAAAAATTAAATTTGAATATATTTTGTATGTTTTTTCCATGATTATAGGGATATAACTTGTAAAAACCATTTTCTACTGTACCATTCCCTTGAGACATTGATCTCCAATGAATCATGACCAGTACTCGCGTTTTAGATTTGAGGAAGAAAACTGACACGGGCTCGTGTTTCGTATATATTAACGACTAATATCAATCATAGCAAAGTATGGTCATACTGTAAACATAACTATGACCAAACGGATCGATTAAACCTCTAACATTTCGCTCTGAAATATCTTGAGCAAAACTATTAAATCACTGCATTGCGTTACGCACCTGTGCGCGCGTTATCGTCAAATTGAGCGCGTATCTGAGCATGCAAGCAATAAACTAGAGATAGATTTAAAATTTGGGATTTATATGTTATATTACCTCTAATTTACAGTAGTGTTCATATGTACATTGGAGCGGTCATCATGAATCGCGGATGAAAAACAGGCTCGTAAGGATTCTTCTCTCTCTTTAACGGTTCTTTCTTGCAAATAAACACTACAACACCAACCAGACCAGCTACCATCATAAACACCCCACATCCAATAGCGATGGGAACTATCAATTCCATGTTGTCTTTGCACCAGCTATAGTCAAAATTACTTCTTGTGATATAAGGATATGCTAATAGCACCGTACCTTTCTCACTTTCATGCACTTAAATTATTCTTTTGAATTTGAATCCCCTTGGAGCTTTGGGCTATTCCATGGAGACGATGAGATCTTTTCCAGATCTCTGTTAAGAAACAGACGGGGAGGGGCGGAAAGAGGTGCAGTTTTAAAAAGGCTTGCAGAAGGGGTTTTTATTTATCAGATAAAAAACGAACAAGGGAGGGGAGGGACAGTACCCTTTGACCTTTCTAATTCCAGTGTCCTTTCATCGTTGCTTGGTACAGTGAACGTTACCAATGCTGCGATTCAGGAGAGACTGTCATTTAACTACCGTCAAACGCAAAAAAATCTTTATTTTCTTAACAAAAACAAATGAGAAAACAATTTATTGAAAACCATAATACCGACACTCATCTTTCACGGTCAAATGGTCATAGTTGTTGTTGAAATATGTTGAAACTTGAGAACTAAATTTCTTGCTCGATGATCGACAAACGTTTCGCAGCTTACTACATGTTACTAGTTGACAATAACTTTATTTTACTATTAAAAATGATACACAGATGCATGCAGTTGACATTTTAAAAATTATAATAAAAATCTATTTAGATGTATTCTATGACCTTACCTACATTCATACGTTGAATATCATTTTAATGGAATTATAAGACGACACAAAATCGCTAAGAAAACAAATCTCTTTGGAATGAATCTTTAACTATTTGATTTACGGTTCATATGTACGCTTAGAGAGAGTTCAACAAGGAAAATAACACAAGATTGACGTCAAAACTTGGTCAGCCATACTGGAGTAGTCTTTAGTGTAGCGATCAACCTAAACAAGAGCACAAACGAAGATGTAGATTTTGCATTCTAACCATCGTCAATTTTAAGAGCTAATACTCACCAATGAATTATAAATGAAGAATTGAAATATTTACAAGTAGGGATGGTAAAATCCCCCTCCATAGGGAAATCGTATTGGCTTGCCATCCTTCCGATCTTGTTCAGCTTTTTTGCCCATTTTTACTGCAACGCAGAAGCTAACTCCCATCAAAGCCGCCATGGCTGATATCATTGCAATGACTCCAAGTGCAGTTAAAAGCGCAGCCATATTATTCGTGTTTTTGTTATTTTGCCAAAGTTGGCGCTGTAATTATATTATCATATATATACGTAATGTTTTCACTCGAAGATGTGGATTTCCTGTGGTACGAGTTGAGCTCGGCACCAGTGCCATGCCGACCGTAAACAAAACAAAAAACGTCGAAAAGAGCAACGATTTTTTTTTCCTTTTTATCACAGCTTTAAATGCATTCTTGAACTTTATTTTACTGAGCTATCTTTAATTGATATATCGTTATTTTTCAAACCTTCTGGCAAGCTCATTAACAATGTCGGCCGCGCAAAAACGYCAAAGCTTTGAAGAACGTGCAGACATGGACGATCGACTGACTAGCAAACACATTCGAACCTTGTTGCATCTACAAGATGTACAYGGAGAAACAGATCGACTCAAACAACGTATTGCTTACCTTGAAGTATRTGAAGTGAAAGCAAAAAAGTGCGATTTCTTTGAAAAGGAATTGGAACATTTGAAGGTAATTCGATACATTAGATACGACCTATGTTTCTCCCTATGGCTGCTATGGGGAAAATACTGGTTCATATTCTAACCCTTTTGGAACTCCTTTTCACAAATTTGACCCCGTTTCCTGACATGCATGGGAGTACGTTTTTTCATCTACAATAGTTGACAAAATTGGACTGTAAACAACCTTTTTATGCAGTGGGGGAGGGGAGGGGGGGTGATTAACGTTACTTTATGAATAGGATTTAGTAAAATCTGTTGAATTCTGTGTCCTTCTTATAAAGAGCCGGTATGCAAATTTCTATTGAGCCATTGAGCCAGAAAGTGATGGGGTATTCTAAAGTCGCTCCCATAGTTTTGGCAATTACTTGTGGCCCCTGCTGTCGACCCTGTAGGATTATTTCCAACATGATCCATTGTCCCTATTGGATCTGGGGCAGTGGCAGTGCCCCTTCCGTTCTCACTTGTTGATCATAGACTTTTACAAAGCCATCTTAGCCATGGATGCATTGTCTTAAAATAAATATGACTTGAAATATGATTTGCATTAAAACTGTCTCTAATAGCTGTGTCTGGCTAAGGTGTCTGAAATTTAAGCAGTGCAAATTAAAATTAATTGCATTTTCTCAGTGAGATGTCACTTTATAGTGAAATTACTGCCAAAACCTTTCAACATAGGAACTTGTGTATTAGCAAAAAAAAGCATTTTATGACTTAATCAAGGAAAATRTTATGGTTCATCAATATTTTCTGTTTGCACAAATTGATCTGTGGATTAGTTTTGGTAAACAAACGTCTAGTCAGCTTTTTCTTCAGTCAGTATTTACACAGAGTTTTCTTAACTATGAAATGATTTGATTGAAATTCAAGGTAATGACTTTGCTATTTCATATGTAGAATGAATTGTCGAAGTGTAAAGATATCCATGAGCAAGCTAAGGATTCCCAGGCAAAGCTCCAAGAGATGCAGAAACAGTGCAATGCAAAACTTGATCAAAATAACAGACAATTAACATATCGACATGAGCAAGAGGTATTCTTTATTAGGTGGTTGGTTTTATGTTAAAAGTACAATACAGTTTGCCAATTTGTACATTAAGATGTGTTTACTGTTGAGAGAAGTCCTACACAATATAACAAAGCATYCACATGTTTCTCTATATATATAACTATATTTTTGTGCTACTTGATTGTTTACTGTTTGACTTATGATAATATAGAGTGGGTTGAAAATGTGTATACAGAATAGTTCATTTTTTCATCAATACTCAATTCAATGTATTTTCCATGCTCACAGATTATGCGATTAGTGTCCGAGAAACTTGAGGAAGAAAACAATTGGGCAATTGAAAAAGAAAAGGTGAAGCAATTTTATTTAAACAAAATGCAGCAACTTAAGTTATATTTTGTTCCAGTGAAGAAATAATTTTGATAATGTCAAAAACTGCGTGCAGTTCAATCAGATATTACTAAATTCTTATTTCTTATTCTTTGAATCCCCAGCTTTTGAAAAGAATTGCACAATTAGAAAGAGAAAACAGTCATTTAAACTCACAAAATATTGTGCTTGAGAATAATTGCGACAGAGAAAAGGTTTGTACAGCGTTCTGAATTTTGCTATCTTCGCTCAGGACACGCCCTTTTCTCACTTTTACCTTGAAAACGTAATTTTGATTTTGATACTAAAACTGAATTGTTCTTTTCTGACCTTGTTTAGATGTCACAAACACAAATTCAGGAGCTTCAATCCATTATTGAATCCTACMAGAAGCAAAACGATGAGTTAGAACAAGCAAAGTTGTCGCTTCAGAAAGGAATACGAGAACTTACTCGTGAAAACGACGCACTTCGGTCATCCCTTGAATCAGTCAATACGAAAGTTAAGGTACTTGAAGTCCGCATAAGACAGGCCAAGGAAGACCGAGATGAGGCCGAGAAAAACAAACCCGCACAAAATCCAGATCTCGAACCGCAAGTCAAACAACTCCAAGAACAAGTACAACATTTAGAGAAAATTGTTGAAGGATTGAAAAGTGAAAACGATGAGAAAAGTCTGACAATAGAGTCATTACAGTTTAGTGTCCAAGATTCGTCGCAATCTTTGAAACACTTGTACAAAGAACGAGATTTATTGAAGAACAGAATAGCAGGATTATTAAGTGAAATTGAAGCTCTGAAGTTTCAAAATCCACCAGAGCCTAAACAATCTACGTTTTCAGAGTATATTCAACTGAAAAGAGACTTTACGGCTCTAAGAAACGAACATGACAAACTACTAAAGAAAAGAGGTTCTAAACCTAACATTCTGCCATGTTTGACTGCAGATTCTAGGACTGTTACTAGAACGTTGAGTGGATCCAGCGCGAAGTCAAAGTCTAGCAGTAATTCTTGAGTTTGTGTGGTTGTCAGTCTAGAAAGGTGTCTTCGGCGAAAAGAGTTTGACATATCCAGACAAATATCGTCTTGATTGATAGGTGGTGAAAGCTAATGTAAAAAGTGTTGTCACCTGTTTTCTAAAAAAACAATATTTTTTGTACAATGGATARAACGGTCTATATATTTTTTAAATGGTGACTGCAAGCCTGTATTTTTTAAAGGGTGAAAAATGCTCTTGTAAAATAAAATGATAATGTTTATAGTCTAGTTTATTCTCTGTTCAGGATATGAACTTCTCTGTTAGCAGAGACCCCCTCAGTGAGATCCACAATATTGTCATTTTATTGATCAAAATCGAACATCTGTACATTATAGTACATGAATCCTCTTTCTACTATAACGGGAGGTTGAACGAGTAAGTGTATTTTAACTGAGAGRGAGCATAGTTCGTCTACGGAATCTTTTTGCTTACTCAATCTTTAATTTTTATTTTCCAGGTTTTGCACCATTTTGGGCTAATCATCATGGTCTAGGGACCGGCCCTTCTTTTTTTCTCTGGGCCATCGATATTTATACAATGTATAATTTATCGTTTTATTACGAAAAGTTTCATCAAAGACATTAAGAGCAGATCACGCTAATTAAACGCTAGTTTTCTGGTTTGGCTCTAACTTTTGCCATATATCCATTGCGTGGGCTTCCTGTGTACAAGACTTGGTAGCCACTTCTTCAGGAAGGAACGCCTGTGAAAAGTTAACCAAGTGAACGTCCTATTCTTATTTAAACGGATTTTCTAGCAATTCCAAGATGTTAGGACTCACGTTAGCTTTGTGTGCGGGATTTTGTGCTGCAATGGCTTCGTCATTTGCAAAGTTTGCAATGTCTCCTTCAATAATACGCCAGCTTGTTTGTAACAACGCTTTTCTTCAGTCAATAATGAAAGGAATAACACGAGATGCATATTGTCAATGGGTAGGCACACTATTTTGCTGTTCTAGTAGGTCTTGATTTGTTATCTACAGTATATTGTCTTATCGTATAATATCCTGAAATTGGTATTTTTWTATTTTGTAGGTTGTTRTATTGTTCAGGGTGTTGTCATTCTCTCTGGTTTTTRTGTTCAATGCTTTGATGTGGACCTTGTTTGTCAAGTCACTCAGAAAATGCTCATCAACTGCAGTTGCAACAGTAACCAACTCTGGGTCAAACCTTGTATTTACGGTAACTAAATATGATTAATGTCTGAAATATAAAAATATGTACAATCTACAAGAATGCAAATGTTGWTCAAACAACAAACTTGTAACTGTGTTAAATTGAATTTATAAAAACGATAAATTTTGTTTTGTTTTAAAGTAATAATATCTGATTAAACGTACTAACATGTAAGCTAATCCTTTATTCTCATTTGAATACTAGGCTATTTTGGGCATGGTGTTATTTGGTGAAACCCAGTCAATACAATGGTGGATGGGTGCATCTATGATTYTAATAGGTTTGATAGTGATACATCATAGTAATAAATCAAGTCACGATAAAGACAAGAATGAATAGAAAAATACACAAAAACACAATATAGATTTCTTAAAATGGTATTTATTGACGAATGTAGCCTAAAAGTAGTGCAGGCATTTTTCTTTGAGTGTATTTATATTTTGACACCATATTATAATAATTTTAATCAAAATTTTAGCCAAAGCCATAGTACAAACTTCAAATTCATCGTCTTCCAAATTCTGAAACAATAAAACAAGTAATCTAATTGTCAATTTTATTCTAATACTGATTTTTGGCAATATTTTCTTACTCTTTTTTCTTTTAGCATTKGACTTTCTCTTCCACTAGAAACATAAAAACAACGTTTTCAAAATGTTATTGTAAATTATTAGAATTTTACAAATATTATTTATACCTTTGGTTTCTTTCCTTTTCCAAAAGATTTCCTGGAATATCAATCAAAATATATAATATCACTACAATGTAGTTCAGAACATTTATAGTGATAAACTATTTTAATTCCTTACAAATAAAGGAGCACTTAACTACATTTACCTCCTGTGTGATGACTCCTCCACCTGTGATGAAATCCAAACAATATGACATTACTATTGCATATAAATTGTTTAATAAGTGATCTAAAAATAAATCTAATATTAAATGCTTTACCTGATCATAATTGTCACTCAAAACAGAGAGGTTGGTGAAAGATGTCAGTTCATCAAAAGGTCCAGAATTTCTTGCATTACTCTTCTGTTAATAAAAAAATTAATAAATTAACTTTTCCTTTTGTAAAAAACCTCTTTAATTTGATATTGTACCTTTTGCTTTTTGGTCTGTAATCTAATGAAGTTATCTTCTTCATATCTGGAAAGGTATAAAATATTGTTTAAAACAATATTTTAGCTACTGCTGGGTCTGATTCACACAGGAATAATTCATAATTTCATAATGAAGTGTTAATTTCTTTTGATGGGTTGATGTTTCTATTTACTATTACATACTTTTGTCTGTGACTTTCATCTTCTTGCTGTTTTGCACTTCTCCAATCTCGTACYGAATCCTCCTGAAATGAGAAATATTTATAACCCAATTGCAAAAAGTTTGTCACATAAAAATGTAAAACATTAATTCAAAATCATTATTACTTACTCTTATTTCAAGTGGAGCATCGCTGTATTCATCTGAAGGAAAAAGGTAAAGTTACCKTACTAAAACTGATTAACGGCACATAAGTTTTTTAACGATATAGTACTTTATAGTTCATGATTTGAGCTGTCTTCTGCAGTACATGATATTTACCTCGAAGGTCATGAATAAGTGAACTGCTGAGTGCTCTCTTCTTTGCATTTTCTGTTTGCTTCTCCTTTCTAGACTTTGAACCTTCATCTACAAAGACATATTCGATTGAAAATATTATGACACATTTTAACAACTTTCTCACTCTGTAAATTCATTATTTATACATATTTACCATATGGAACAGCTTTGACTTTYGGTGGCACATAAACTCCCACTTTAGATGGACCAGGAGAACCAGACTCATCCTCATCTGTGTCTTCATCATCATCATCATCATCTTCAAACTAAAATTAGTGTATTTTAAGTGCTAATGTGAATGAATTCTTTCTAAAAAGACCRTAGAAAACTATACCCTGCTAGCCAAGTTGTCTGGGTTTGGCTTATACTGCAAAGGATCATTGCTTCCCACTAAAATTTGAAAAGAATTGTTAGTATTTAATATATACTGCAAAGTCTTTCAAARCTCAACATACCTGTTAATCCAGTTGTTGCTATTCGCACCAGCTTGTCTACCTGATATTTTATTTTCTGGTCGATTGGTCTTAATTTTTCTAGAACCTGAAATATGAAAATATGCCTTAAACAATAAATATAGATTAAGTTGTCTTTGGTAAATAATGCAATTAATGAATATTGGATTCTCTTCAAAGCATGTTGTGAYTTGCAGTGTTTTTAAAAGAAACAGCAAGGTAAACAKTGAAYGCCAAMAGCTRTAATGCGTCTACCRGTAGTTTTCTTTTGTCTCTACGTATGCCTTGAATGCTAGATTTGCTTCATGAGTTTAAAATCTTACTTACCGTTCTAAYTTCAACTAGCCTGTCAATCACAGGCTCATCTTCTATTTTTTTGCCTTCRGTCTTCAGTAACATATAGTACACAATATTGATTAAATAGCTGTATAAAACAAATGTTAAAATCTTAGTTTTGAGCTTACATTGTATTAAATAAAAATTTGTTAACTTATAATTAATGTAGTGTACCTCAAGAGTAACTGTGATTTGACTTCCAGAAAGCTAATTCCCTATAGATACAATAGCAGTGCAGTTTTTAGTGATATACTCATTGGATTTGCCATGGAATGAAGGTACGATTTGAAATTGTCGGGTTTTTTTCTACTTTCTTTGAATCACCTTTGCAGTGGCTATTTCCTCGTCATCGATTTTCTTCATCAATCCACCGACGTGCTTAGATATTTCTTCGACCTTCAAGCATACGAAAACATCGTTTATGTAACCAATTCAAAAATATAAAGCTTTAAGCACGTATTACTCTCTGACATAGTTACCTGGTTGTTTAACTCTTGTACAGCAGCAACATATTCTGGTAAATCTTTCGCGATCTTCTAAGAAAAAGAAATAAGAAAATGTTKGAACTTAAAAACTATCAAAATACTTTTCATGTGGAATMGATGTGAAGTCAACCAATCGAAGAAATATAAAACACGTGAAAGGAACACGCTTTACCTCTTCGTCCGCCATGTTTGTTTTGTAGCAAAACCGCTGATATATGACACTGAAGGCGCGTTATACTCTCCCCAGTCTTCTACGAGAGCTCACGTCATTTTGAGGGCGAAGAAAAAAATGTACCAAATCATCCTCTGCAGTAATGAAATATTTTTTTAAACTCCATTTGTGGTGCACGAAATGTTTTTGATAGTCCAGGAATTTATTTTCAATATAATTCATTTTTATAACATTTATACTGAATCTAATACCTGTCTTACATCCATAATGATAGAACATCTCACAGATTTATTCCATTTCTATTTTAATATACTCTATATTCATTCATCAAGTAACCAATTTTTCATATTAAATCTAGAGTAAGTAAATCTAATTATACACATTGCTTTTTTAATCTCCCAAAAATATACTTCAGCATTTATTCCAATGTCCGCACACAGTGTGATTTTATAAATCAGTTTTCTTGTAAGTAATCAGCTCTATAGTTTACATGAGAATACATCTGTTTTGTGGTAGTTTTAAAAGAACTCTCTTAAGGTGCGCCTCCGTCACGATCACATGTGAACGAGCGATCTTATTGATGTTTTTTCGATAAATTGCCAATGCAATTTCAAGCAGAGTTTTTGCTTCCTTCATCTCTTTGCAGTGTTCATGGACAAGAGCAAGTCTGACCAGCGGTCTGGCTACTTCTGGGTGATCAGGTCCCGTTACGCACTTCTGAATTTCAATTGCACGTTTGAATTGYTGTTTGGCAAATTCTATCTCGCCAAGACCAAGATTAACCTCTCCTAAACTTTCAGACGTCTTGGCGAGGGCARYAGAGTTGGATCCTTTGAGTTTAACTTGTCCTTCTGCTACACTTTGATACAAAGTCCTTGCGTTTTTCAGGCGACCAAGTCGAGCAAACGAATGGCCAAGATAGTAGAGGGAGTCAAGAGTTTCTGGATGTTGAGGGCCAAAGACTTTTCCMCGGATTTCAACAGCTCGCTCAAGCAAACTTGATGCAGTTTGGTGGTCACCAAGTTTGTTGTACACCTTCCCTAGTTGAAAATACGATGTTCCWATGTCAGGGTGGTCTCCTTGGAACAACAGTCCACGAATTCCTAACGCGCGCTCATGGAATGATTTGGCTATTTCCAATTGCCCACTTTTTGCATAGACAAGACCCAGATCACAGCATCTATCAGCAATGACGGGGTCAAGGTGACATTGAAGGATATTTTCTTGGATTTCTAAAGCAGTACCATAAAACTCAATAGCTGATTCCCAATCTTCTTGTACAGTYCGCAGTGAGCCTAGTTGTGAGAAGACTTGAGCAACATCAGCATTCCATTGGCAAGTGATGTTCTGTGAGATTGCAATGGATTCTTGTAGTAGTCGCTCCGCARAATCAAGGTCGCCCAGAGCTTTACATGCGTTAGCAGCGTTCTTGATGCTACTCAGTCTGTAAGGGTGATATCTACTGTAAAGTCTTTGTTCAATTGCCATGGCTTTGGCGAGGTACTCCTTTGCRAGGTGATATTCATCAACRCAYATTGACATCGCTCCTACACAGGTAAGAGYCTTTGTAAGATTAACRAAGTCGACATCATCCATTAGTTTCAAAGCTTCCTCGTAGTGCTCCTTTGCAAGCTGGAATGACCCTTCGATTGCGAGTACGTTTCCTACCTTGTACCACGACAGGGGAACGCCCATGTTTCKCCCAAGTGTTGAGCTAGTTTTCAGAGCCTTCYTGTAAAACGCCTTTGCATTAGCAAGATCATCTGAAGCAACTGCAACATCACCAAGGGCTAAGAGTACATCTGCTACCTTCTCGTGAGAAACGYCTTTATCTTGGCAATAAAACTCTAACGATTTATCAAGATATTCCTTTGCGTCGTCACTTCCGATGTCGCATGACACAACTCCAAGACCATGAAGTACACGCACAAAACGTCCTGCATCAAGAACTTGTTCTTTCTCTAGAACACTCTTTGCTATTGATAACAAAGTTTTGGAGCGYTCTGGTGCCTGCAAGTAATGACACTGGTCTGWGAGTTTCATCAAGATGTCCACAGCATCGTTATCTGCAGTTGTACATTTAATGAGATGGTTGATAAATGCTTCACGTAAGTCGTCAGACAAGCCTCGTATCTTTCCTGCTACCAAATTAGCTCGACAGCAAACGCTATAAATACAGTCACTAAGAATACTTCGAACATTTTTCAGGCTTGAAAACTTATGTGCTAGTGAGATAGCTGCCAAGGCAAAGATTTCAACTCGAGTTTCATCCAATTCTGATTTATGGYCATCTGGAATATGATGGCGCAATGAAACCAAATCTGATTCTGCATTTCTTTCTATTGACAAAAATGGAGATATGTCATGTAGAAAGTCCACTATGTTTGWGTCTGTGATATTTGTCAGACAATTTGAAAGCATTTCTTTCTCGACGTGAAATGGCTGAAACAGAGTAAAGAGATAGCTGACGTCTGAAATCCCATGATTCCTTGATAGGACTTGYATYAGAAGCATATTCATTGCTGTTGAACATGACTGGGAGTAAATRGATTGGATTGCTTCCTTGTCTACATCTTGACAAAGGACRTTGTATTCTCTRAACAGCTCTAGAAATACTTTCCAAGGAGAGCCAAAATTTTTCACCATCTGGTTTCTGACAAACACTGCAGCACAAGATAATGATAATGGTTGAAACTCTAATATTTCAGCAACCTCTAAACAGTACTTCACCTCTGTGATACCTGAAASCTCAGACAGCAGTTGAATTGCTTGTGAAGGCTGCATACCATGKGACAGTGACACATGACCAGCAAAATCCAATGAAGAACTTTTGACATCATTTATTGAAGGCAATGTAACAATAAGATAGCCATGACCCCAATCATTACTGCCAGGTTTTGGCCAAAACTCAAAGAGTGATTCAAAATGATTCAYATTGACCATAACTACAACCCAGCAAGGATACGTTTTTAACTGGTCTCCAATGATGTGCYTCAAAAGCCTTAACCTCTCTTCAAGTAGTAAGCCTTTTGAAGTCACAGCCATTTGAATTTGTGTAAAGTTGCAGAGCAGTTCTTTGGCAAAACTCACATAGGAAGATAACAATGTCTGTTCTGTTTCTGCATTTAGGGTCATAACTGGCATTGGTTTATTCTTATGATCAACTCTGTTCAAAGCCTCAGCTACTTGCTTTGCAAATTCTCTCTTTCCAGAACCATATTGTCCATCAATAAATAGTGTAGAATTGCCATTTTGATTTCTTTGACTTAATTCATTAAGCTGCTCCAAAACTGTACTGACTTCTACAGTTCTTTGTATGGTGGTATGGTGGCAACTAKGTCCAAGGAAACAGAAGTCTCTTCTCTCCAAACTAAGTTTCTCATGGGCAGTCAACACATCATCCTCTMTAAAACTTGACTTGTTATAAATTTCATACACATCACTTAATGGAAGCTCTAGTTCTTCAAAAGTCGTAACAATTTGCTCCTTTATGGCCTCAAGCTCCTTATCTAGCATAGACTGTTGTGACACATATTTAAAAAATTGTTTGCGTACATCTGCAAGTTTAGTTAAACCATGCTGTAGCTTAGTATCTGGTGAATTTGTACTAGTCAACAGTAAATTACAAAGCTTTTGAAAGTGGTAGCTCTGTGACCATTGTACGTCTTCCTCTTCTATGTTAGTTACCAGTGTCTGAAGTCCTTTTGCGATTGCATCAGTAAGCAATAGGGAACCTTTAAGAAAGTTAAGCTCTCCATTTGTCCTTGAAGGAGGGTATTCCATACTATTCTCAG